TGGAAGAAGAAGTTTCTTTCTATTTTCCTATGAAATTGCAGTGTTAGAAAGCAAAGCAATGAAATTTGGAGGCTAATATTAATTAACACTACTATTAACTTAAAGACTTGACAGGACTTTTATCATTCTTTGACCCTGTCAACTTATAAAGAAGCAAAAACTGTGGTAGAGCTTTAAAAAAAAATCACATGAACTAGTGGAGTTCAAAACAGAACTAATGCTAAATTTGAATCCTTTTAAGACACAATCGATACTTAATATAATCTTATATTGTGTTTATAAAAGGATCACATTTTGCAAAGGACTAAGTATTTGTCATTTCATCTGATTCTCACAACTCTGAGAGTTAAGTAGGACAAGTACTATTTTTCTTATTTTACAAATAAATAAACTCAAGCTCATAAAAGTTAAATATTTTGCATAGTCTAGATAAATAGATCTTCTGGGTCCAAGCGCTTCTTCCATCACAAATGCTGCCAGCAATTTTACGCTCTATACTTTTCAAGTTGTTTCATAACAATTAATGCTTAGCCAAGAAAATTTGGAAAATAATACATTAGAACACATAATGAAAGTTTATGCTATTTAAAATGTTAAGAATTTTGCTAAAAATCTCATTATTGTGTGATGTACAATTTATCTAGCTGAAATGAGGAACCAGTTAACTCATCCAAAATGAACTTGGAACCGAAGAAAAATCTTTAAACCTAAGTGGATACAACTTTAAATGCTTAAATGTGAAACAATGTGACCCTACAATAGTACTATTTTTCAAGAGTTAAAAAAAAAAATCACAGGGCCAGCCCCATGGCATCGTGGTTAATTTTGGTGCACTCCACTTTGGCAGCCCGGGTCATGGGTTCAGATCCTAGGCACAGACCTATACCACTTGTCAGTCGTGCCGTGGCAGCGACCCACATATAAAGTGGAAGAAGGGCCGGCCTGGTGGTGCAGTGGTTAAGTTCACAAGTTCCACTTCAGCGACCTGGGGTTCCCTGGCTCAGATCCTGGGTGCAGACCTATGTACAACTTATCAAACCATGCTGTGGCAGGCATCCTTCATATAAAGTAGAGGAAGATAGGCACGATGTTAGCTCAGGACCAGTTTTCCTCAGCAAAAAGAGGAGGATTGGTGGCAGACGTTAGCTCAGGGCTAATCTTCCTAAACAAATAAAAATAAAGTGGAGGAACATTGCCACAGATGTTAGCTCAGGGTTAACCTTCCTCAGGAAAAAAAAATCACTTCTAGCTACCATTTATCTCGATCACTTAAATTTATTCTAAACCAAGTAAGGCAACTTATAAGATCAAATGATTCTGCTTGATGATTGGGAAACCTAAAGAAATTTTTAGTCACTGAGAAATGCTAGCTTCCCAGAGATTAACGGTTTCAGAGATAGTTTTTAAAAATGTTCATTCCTCTATATTTATTTCACCCAGATTACTACCCAACCAAGGAACAGAGAGGGCTGGTGAATCAAATAGGAACACTTAACAAATAAGTGAAAGAGTTTAGGTTTGGATTACTGGGAAAATTTTTTTTAATCAATTATATAATTAATCAACAAGAAAATGCCTAATAAAGTGTGGACAGCCCACATCGGACTTGCAAAGATGACTAAAAACCAGTTGTGCACTCATTAGCTTGACACCCATTTTGAGGGAATAAAAGCACCAACGTGAAGGGCCACCTTCTTTGCAAGTCCAATGTGGATGGTCTACTCCCTAAATTAGGGCTATGAGGGTACAGTATGCATTTATAGGCTACACAATTTTTATTGTTGTACACTTATGTACACTTTACAGGATTCATGCCTGGAAAAGTCTGAGAGACTGTGGAGGGCTACCCACTCAAACAGAACAAGGAGAAATGGCTGCACTGCACTGTTTTTGGCCTGGACAACTAAACTTTGTCAGGGCAAAGGATGCGAGGCTTTTTCCTATGGACCGGATGACAGCATAGGTATGGGGTCAGCTGAAAAAGGACTTCGTCCAATAGGGTTTCCTAGAGGCATTTAGATGTCTACACAGAGTTCATAGGGTGAAGAAACTAAAGGCTGGAAACTAAGCGTTGAGAACAAGTCTTAAGCAGCTGGCTAGAGGTACTGACCACTGTAGCAGAGATTGCTAACTCATCAGCAGATCACGAGCTAGGCACACAACTAGACTAGTTAGGCGTGGCTATGTGATAGAGTTTTAGCCAAAGGAACATGAGAAAAAGTGACAGAGGTCACTTCCAGGCCTGGTCCAAAGAAATGTCCCACAGGTGCTTCTTCTTGCCCTTTCCACTCCAACTCCATGCAAAAAGCACAGGTATCTTTACTGAACAGTTCTTACATACTCAATGCAACTTGAAGCTAGGTTCTTTTTCATACATTATCTTATTCCAACATAGCTGTACTGGATGGTAACAAACCCAACTCATCAGATCCTGTCTCCAGAGAATTATGAATGCCAGGCAGACAGCAACAAATGGTTATCTTCTTCTGAAGATATGACAAAAAACTGAAGTCATCAGAGCTACTATCTTCTTGCAGGGGGGCACTGAAGAGTATCAATGACGAGGGACTATCAGTCCAGTTCTCCATGAAGCCTAGTACACTTTCCAGCCTGAAGAGCAATGGGACCCAGAGTCGTTATCTGCTTGCTTAAACGGCTTCCTGATAATGCATCATCTGAGGGTTGAGATGAGAAGCACCCTTAAACTGGGGGATACACGTACGGCTATAGTAAACTGGCTATCATAAGAAGCCACAAAATAAACTCTATCTCCCTTGAACAGCAATGATATGATGTAGCACATAATTCAAAACAATATCAAACATGAGCATATTATGAAATTGCATGCAAAATTCACATGGATTTTTAAGGTAGAAGATTAGAATTCAAAGAAATTTCACTCTTCTCAGAGGCTAATTCAGGCTTTCTGTCCAGATCTCACAGGAATGTTAATTTACCTCTATGGTTTACCAGTGGAAAAGTTGGAGAAGCACCAACCTATAGTAACTCAGAAGGGTTCTTTCACAGCAATCTGGAAGTCATTTAATGTGATTTTCTTTCTTATAGCCTATCCTACTAGACTTTAAGCTGCACTAGGATAGGATCTCTTTCACTCTTCTTTATTTCCTTTGTAGTAAACTTAATAACGGCCCCCAAAGACAGCCAAGTCCTAACTCCTGGAACCTATGAATGAATGTTTCCTTATATGACAAAAAGGGTTTTGAAACTAAGTTACAGATCTTGAGATGGAAGATTATTCTGGATTATCTAGGTGGAACCTAAATGTAAGCACAAGTACCCTCCCTCATAAGGGGAAGGCAGGGGGAGACTTGACTACAGAAGAGGTGACATGATGATGGAAGTAGATTGAGCAATGTCCTTTGAAGATGGAGCAAGGAGCCACAAGCCAAGGAATATAAGCAGCCACCAGAAGCTGAAAAAAGGCAAGGACATGGATCTTCCCCTCCGAGCCTCCAGAAGCAACCAGTACTCAGAAAAGCAGTTATGTGTACTGATCTACTTTTGCTTTATGCTATCTACAGCAGTCTAAGGGAAGAATACAAACCAGACAAGCAACACTTCTGCATTCACAGCGAATTCTGTCCTGAACCCTGCGTGAGCAGGTAAGAGGGCCACCTAGCCTTCAAGAGATACTGCACACTTAAGCGGTACTAGGCGGCATGTTACCACTGTTTTACATACATATCTATCACATAGATATATGATAGTCTAGCCTCCACAGGAAAGAACTCGAAAAGCAGAAAGTCGTATGTAGTTAATATCAGTAATTTATAATCCATTATTTCATTCGATCCTCACAACTCCAGGAAGCAGACAAGTCTGGTACTGATGTCAGTTCTGCAGGTGAGGAAGCTAAGACTGAGCAGGTGACTTGCCCAAAGGTTAGTAAATGGCTCCTACTCCGATGACTTTCTACTAGATCATCTTACCTCGGTAACATCAATTTACTTCTAGGTATGTCATATTAACTTTTAAAATAACTTCAAGTTAGGAAAGAAAACAGGAGCGAACATTTTACAAATAATACCAATTTTAATTTTACGTCCATGGAAACCCACCAAATGCCTCACTCAATTTAAGTTGTCGGAGACAAGCTGGAGAGAACACGTGGACAAGTAACTTAACTTATGAGCGTTTCTTCGCGTGGAGATGGTAACAGTTAACAGCACCTACCCCTTTAGAATGCTGGGTGGATTAAATGAGACAGTACAGGTGAAGTGCTAACACAGGAGCTGATCTCATAGTTCGTACTATACACCGCAGAACGTCTCTTCCCAAATGAAAACTTGCTCTCTGATCTCGAAAATTCACAAACCAGGAGATGGGTAGGAAAGAATGCGAGGGGCAGGGGAATAACAGGTCCTGGCGACCCTGCCTTGAACACCCGGCGAAGGGTGCTTCGCTCTTACTGAAACGTAACCCGGAAAAAGCGCTGAGCGCGGCGTCAGCGACACCAACCTAACCCGCCGGGCCGGGACAGCGCGGGTTTGACCCAGGGGCTCCGACGCCGGCACCAGAAGCCCCAACACCTGCCTCCCTCCTCCCAGCTCCTCCCCGTTTCCCTCGGCGCGCCTCGTGCTAACGGCTCAGCGACTCCGGCTTGCCGGACTCAACCGGCACCGTCGCCGCCCATCGAGCCGGCTGCCCACCCCGGCCGTACGAAATATACCTCACCAGCATGCCACAAACGGCGCGCGCGTGAACGCGAGCTCAACCCCGGCGGAGAGGACGACCGGAACTCCACCCTCTGCCTCTCTGATTGGGTAAACGCGCCAAGGAAGCTGCAGAGGATTGGCCGGCAGCCGAGAGGCGGGCCATAGCCTGGGGAAGCGAAAGAGCCTGGACCAGGAGGCGGGAGGAGTTGCCGGAAGCTGGCCTCTCTCCGGACGGAACGGAAGCAGCATGTCTGCGCCTGCGTGGACGCAGCTTACGTACAGCGCCGCACACCACCGGCCCCTGCGTTACGTTAACAGAAATTTCAACGACTCATTGGTTGTGATAAAGGTTAGACTCTCCCGGCTGCATGGCCAATAAAGGGCAAGAATAAAGCGGGTTCCGCCTCTTCCTCGGGTGACTGGGTCCTTCCGTTGACGCTGAGCAACGTGAGTTCCTTTCAGTGTTTAGACGCTAGGCCTTCCACTGAGCCAAAACTGTGATAGAGGATTGTTATGGTGACGAGGAAGCTTCTCCTGCGGGTGAGAGCTACTTAGTTAGAATCGGTGCCCGAGCACCCGCATACGCTCAGAACTTCCAAGGGTGACGTCAATACTGGAAGGCGAAGGAACCAGTCCTTCACGCCTGCTTTGGCGTGGCTGTGTCATTGGCTGAAAAAGTTATCAATTTGTAGGTAACTCCTCCGCCGCCCAAGGGAACTCTGGGATTTGTAGTCCCGAACGCTCAAGTCCTTTAGCTTTCAATGGGCTTGTTGCTGCTGAATTTTTCCTTATTAACACTAGCTCACGTTTAGTGTGGTTTTGATGTGTTCCGTTGTGTCTTTTATCCTGTTTCTTATCAGCACCATTAAAGCCAAAGGACACTTAAGAAAACTGGAAAGACTTCATGTATGTTTGTAAAGATAATTATTAGTGTTTCAAATAACTTACTATTGTGCCTGACGCTCTGCTAGATCTTCGTAATTACTGTACGAAGTGGAGAGTAAAATTCTTGGTTTGTAAAATTTTTGCTATTACAACAAAACGGTCTTTGATTTGCATATTAGGGTCCATTCAAGAATATTTTCAAAGTACCCTGAATTTATCAATTACATATGCTATTTTGGCGCGAGTAGCAGCTGCTTACATAAATCAAATGTTAATAAGACAGGAAGCTGAAGTGGCTGCTATCTTGACAGGAAAATAGTGCCATAGTTAAAATGTCAAGCGTGACCAATTTCAGGAGGTACACGTATTGTGTATTATTCAATATTGTATTACGAAGTCCTTTTTCAGCCTTTATGGAAACATATGTTGGTTTAAGGCAGGTTTTTCCCTGCCTTTATTGAATCGTGAACTCTTTATTTTTGTGAGCCCGTTTAGTAATATTTCATCACTAAGGTGTTTAGCAAAAGTAAAAGTCAATCTATAAATACCGAAAACTTTTCCTGAGTGGACTTTCCTCTTTCGACAAACTTTTTCCTATTTAACATATAATGCAAACTGTTTCATTTGTGTAAGAAAACACAAGGTTTGAGATATATAATAGTTCTCCATTTCTAGATTAAAAATTAAGTACACTTTACAGGATTAAAGTCAAGCAAAAACTGCCTTTATGACTGGTGCTTGGAATTATTGCATTTTTGTTTAAAAAATAAAATTATTTTTATAATTTTTTTGGTCTTGTTTCTAAGTGATAAGAGAAGGTTTCAGGTTGTTATTTGTAAATAAAACATGGGAGATATAACTTCTTTTTATTCTCAATATATGTAACAGCCAAATTGGGTGTAATCATCACTGTATTTCTCCTTTTTTATTTTTTTGCTGAGAAAGATGAGCCCTGAGCTAACATCTGTTGCCAATCTTCCTCTTTTTTTGCTTGAGGAGGATTAGCCCTGAGCTAACATCTGTGTCAGTCTTCCTCCACTTCATATGTGGGCCACCATAGCATGGCTGATGGGTGTTGTAGGTCCGTGCCCAGGATCCAAACCCACAAACCCAGGCCACTGAAGCAGAGCATGCCAAACTTAACCACTAGGCCATGGAGCCGGCCCTTGTATTTCTCCTTTTACTGTTCTATGTGATGTACTAAGTGATATATGTGGATACAAAAATCACCCTGAGGCAAAAATGCAGAATTATCAGTTTTAATGCTTTCCATTAACTAGCATTTTAATGGTATTTAGCTTTTGCTTTCTATTTTGAATCAATGGTCTCCATTTGGGATATAAATTAAATTCATACAGCTAAGAATAAAAACCATTAAAAACTGAAGGTATTAAGACTGCCACTGTGGTTAGCAGTGTTGAGCAGAGTGGTAAATCAACTGAGTGACTGAATCGTGAGCACATTTGGCTGAACTGTATTGATTGTCTTAAGTGCTAACTCTTTTGGAAGTTCCCGAAGTGTTCCATTTTAAAAGAGAAAAACGTAAATAGCTATTTTATTTCTTGAGAATTTAAAAATAGAAATTGAAACAGGAACCATTGCTGCCTTTTTATTTTTTTACTTATTTATTTTTTTGCTGAGGAAGACTTACTCTGAGCTAATATCTGTTGCTAATCTTCCTCTTTTTTTTGTGTGTGTGAGCCACCACCACAGCATGGCCACTGACACATGGTATAGGTCTGAGCCCAGGAACCAGGCCTGGGCTGCTGAAGCAGAGCACACCAAACTTAACCACTGGGCCACTGGGGCTGGCCCCGCTCCTGCCTTTTTAGATGTGAATCTTGGAATCACAATTCCAAGATTGTGGAATTCCAAGATTGTGATGATAAACAGTTTTATCATCAGTTGGGCAATAGTTTAAAAAATAACCTCAAGGTGAAATAAAGGCAAGATGATTCTTGAGATGCAGGAAGAGAATATTACAAACCCTATTTGTATTTACTTTTTCATCTTGAAGTTTTTCTTTCCATTTCTGTGTTTTAAAATATTGTATGCAGGATGTAACAGTATAAACCTTTTGAAATCTAACTATATAAGAGTAAATGGTAAAAAAAAAAAAACCTTTATTGAGAAGTATGTGATCAGAAAAAGGCTGGAGGTGTGTAAGGCAGACTTTGTTCAAGGGGGACTACAATGGAAGGGTTTTGTAATAGGGGAGAGAGATTGGGCTCAACTCTGAATACAACAGGAAAAGTGGGAATTTATCACCAAAGAGCAGGTGTAGGGGTCAGTGGATAGAAAATTACCAAGAGGAAACATCAGGGGTAATGGGGCTTCTTGCTAGATTGACCCAATAGTACTCTTGCTGAAAGCAGGTTGGGGTAATCAGACATCACCTGGGGGTAGTGAAGAATGAGGAACCCAATCAGATATCAAGCGAGGGAGGGGGATTCTGGTTAAACTGACTTAGAAGGATCCTTGCCAGAACTGGACACTACAAGAAAGGACATCTGAGCCCAAGGTCAGGACTAGTCAAAAAGAGAACACATATACACACACTCTCACTCCTATATACACGCAAAAACATTTGTATTTGCTATTATTAAAATATAAAGTCCAAATTTTACATAATACTATTTGGAAATACTTATGCTCAATCACTGTATCAGGGCTCAGCCAGAGAAATAGAACCAGTAGGAGATATATCTTAAGGAATTTTTTGCAAGGAATTGACTTACACAATTTGAGGGGCTGGCTGGGGGGCAAGTCTGAAATCTGTAGAGCAGGCTGTCAGGAAAGACAGGCTGGAACTCTCAGGCAGGAAGGAGCTGAAGTTGCAGTCAGCAGAATTTCTTCTGGGAAACCTCAGTTCTGCTCAGGCCTGCCAGCTGATTGAATCAGGCCCACCCGCATTATTGAGGATAATCTCCTCTATGTAAAGTCTACTGATTATGAATGTTAATCACATCTTCAGAATACCTTCACAGCAACACAGAGATGAAGAACTTCAGATCATTTGACAGTGGGGATTTCGGCTTGGAAGGCATTCCAGAGAACCATGTTTGACGTTTGTGTCTTGTATTTGTGGGAGTGGGTTAGTATAAGCATACAGATTGTAGAAACTAATCCCATTCTCCACTCTCTGGTGAAATACATCTGAAAGGAACAGCCTTACCTTCCAACTCCATTCCCGCCTGCATCTCTAACTCTGCCTCATTTGGCTGGCTGGTCCTTGAGACCCTGGCCTAACAGCCTACGTTAGAAGCCTCTGGCTCCATTCCTAAGCACCAACTTTTGAATTCCTTGCCCCACTTTTGAATCCTTTAAGGTTTCCCAATACCTGAGGCACATGCCTAGGCATGCCTGCCTCTACTATCTAAGGAGCACTTCGTGGGAAGCTGCCAGCTCTGGAGCTTTTGAAAATGTCAACAAGACTGCCCTTGAAGCCAGAGGGTGGGGTGGTAGTGAGAACATCATGTGACAGGTGTCAACTAGTACCAGCCATCATGCCAGACTGTTTTTTTAAGATAATAGTGGTGTTCCAATTCCTTTAGTTTCAAGATGGACTTTACCATTACCTCTTTTAGTTTAGACACATGAAAGTTGGGGAACAGGCAGGACTAGTACTGAAACTGAAAATTGTGTTAATCAAAAACAAAAAACCTCTTCACAGAGCTACTCTAAAGTGGTGAATTGACTGGTTTAAGCTTCTGTTCTCTTCCTGCCACTTTGAAGTTAGAAAGAATGAACAAATAGTAAAATAGCACATTAAATGGAGTTAAGAGGAGAAGAGAAAAAGTCCAAGTATTTGACAAACTAGTGTCTGAGTCTTATTTAATTAAGAATCAGGACCACAGTTTATTTTAAGCAGAGAAGTATGGTTAGGACCAAAAGGAGCAGCTTAGGATCTTAATAAATGCTATGAAAATAAATTCACTTTTCTTAAATAAGTTATGAAAGTGCCTCTTTGCTCATGCACGTGAAGTTGCCTCAGGGCATATGCTACAAGATTAGCTCTAAATGGACAGAGCTGAGAGAGTTATTGAATTGCTAAGGTGAATGCCATAGTTACAGGCAGGATGACAAAAAAGGATGTTTGCTGAGCCCTTTAAGTGTTGAAAATGATCCTTGAAAAAAATTTTTTAAAGATAGCACTAGGAACATACAACCACCAGGAAGTGGAATCAAAGAAATTTAAATGGTGTTGATGGAAGTTATAGGCAAAGTAGAGCCGTGTAATAAAAAGACTATTGATGTGAACTTATGTGAAATACAGACTATTTGACTATTCTGATATCCTTAGGATTTTTATTTTTTTCATGTGATCTCCAACTGACGTATGTGACAGTATAGTACAAAACTATTTATCTGAGCTGTAAAAGAATAGGAAAGCATTCTGTTTTCTTTTGCAGGATTTCTGGAAATTTTAGCCCCCCAAGTCAAATACCAATGGTGTCCTTACTCATTGTCTGCTTGTTTTTGGATTTACGTATTGTTGACTCTCTCTCATCTCCTATCCTAGAAAACTGTATAGTAGGAGATTGGATTTAATTTTCTAAGCA